AGAGAAGAGAAGAGAAGAGAAGAGAAGAGAAGAGAAGAGAAGAGAAGAGAAGAGAAGAGAAGAGAAGAGAAGAGAAGAGAAGGGGAGGGAGAGAATGGAAGAAAGAACGACACAGGGCCCACGGCAAGATGAAGTTGTTTCCCAGAAGACATTCTCTCTTCTTGGGTGGTAGCTGCCCAGCTGGACAAAAGTTCCAACCTACTACGTTGAATTCATTCTGACACGGTAACGCTGGAGGACAGCGTATAACCGCCCCACAAGGTTTCCAAGGCTTTACACAAGCAAACCGCCACGTCTTTCTCCCGGTGGGAGCTTTTCAGGTAATAGTCCAATGCCGAACCACTGCGCCACTCGGGATCTGGAAAAGCGGGGTGGCCAAGCTCATTCTGTCCAGGAAGGTGTCCCTAGCCACCGATTTCTCCCTCTTACGTACCTCACCAGCACTGACCCAGCTGCCCTTCTTAGTGAAGATTACTGTCGTTTTCAACGACTAACGGAGAGTCTGCCGCTTACAGGCTGACCTCCGGGACTGACAGGGACTTCACTCACCCCGCACTCCCCAGACCACCCTGCTACCTGCCTCATTGAGTGCCTGCGCACCCGAGCCCTATGCTGAGGGGAGTCTCGGCTGCTTCGCCTCTCTGGGGTTCCCCGGCTCTTTCTGGGGCGCCCCCGAGGGAGAAAGCCGCTTTGGCTCACACATAAATGCCGGGGTGACCACAAATGAGGTGAGAAAAGGAAAAACAAACAGACAAACCGCTGGGGGATCAAAGATTTGTCTTCTGTCCAGTTTGCTTTGCAGTTCGGGGTTAGCAGGGAGGAAGGAGAGCCCGCTGAAGATGAATGAGAGCAGGGCATTCGCTTACACGGGGACCTGGGCCGGGCCACACGCTGGCGCGATCTAAGTGGAATTAAAGGAGCACAGCGCTGAACAGGCCACGAGTCCCAGGGTGCGGAGGGGTGGGTGATCAGAGGGACAAAGGGACCCAGGAGTCGTAGGATAGCTTCCATTGTCCGCTTGCCAGGTGCGTGCAGCCCCAGTCAGGGGGCGGGCGTCAGCTTTTCCGCAGGGCCGCAGCGCTCCAGGCCCCGCATGCTGTCCCGGGGACGGCCCCGCTATAGCCGGGCTGGCGCGCCGAGCAGGTCAGCGAGACGCAGACGGCCGATGGTCTTCACCTCACCCAGGGCGGTGCGCAGCTCCTGCTCGGGCGAGCAGTGCAGGCGGCGCTCCAGCTCGCGCGCCACGGTCTCCCGGTCGCGGAGGCGCGCGGCCAGCACGAAGGGGAAGCCGAAGCGCGCGCGGTACTGCGCGTTGAGCTCAGCCAGCCGGCGCCGTTCGTCCACGCTCAGGCTCTGCAGGCCCGCTGCGCTCTGCTCGCGCTGCGACTCGGCCGTGAGCGTGCCCCGCTGCAGCTCGCGGCCCGCCAGGTCCGGGTGACAGCGAAGGATGCCTTCTTGGCCTGCAGAGAAGCAAAGAGACACGGAGGGCGTCACTGCGCCGGCCACGCGCGCGCAGCTGGGAGCGAGGGGTGCGCATCTGGGACTCTGCGGGAGTGAGGAGTTCCGACAGTACGGGGGCGCCCAGGGCACCGGTCCCTCTAACGAGTCCCAGATCTCGCACGCCTCCCTCACCCTCCTTCAGCCTCGGCCAGGACTTGGGGGCGGGGTGGGAAGTGACAGGTTTGTCCTTTGAGACCTTGGGTAAGTTGAGCGGAGGGGAGAGAGCGGCGGGCCGCGGAGGTCCGGAATTTATGGCTCGCTCGACAGAGAGCCGGGACGAGATAAGGAGCTGGAGTGGTTGGTAGCTTTTCAAAGTCCTTTGCTCTCAGGGGGGCTTTGATGTCGAAAGGGGCCGGACACAATGACCTGAAGACTTCCTGCAGAAGCAGGGAAGGGGTTTCTCTCCGCTCTGAAGGAGAGCGGGCAGGGGCGGGGTGGGTCTTCAGGAATAAGATCCTTGGAGCTGGGCAAACACACGCCCCCGACTTTGTGACCCAAATGTGTGAGCTCGTTCTGGATCCAGAAAACCAAAACGAAGCCTATTTCCCGCGGGATCCCACAGCCCCTTGAATTTAAGGGCCTTTCCTTCTTTTAGGAAAGTCGCGCCCACCCACCAGCAGCCCTGCCGGTGTCTCACCTTCCCTCCCTCCCATTGTGCGTCCCAAAGAGACGGCAGAGAATCGCGGTTTATTTTAAGAACGTTTCTCATCATTTTCCTAGGCTCAAGCTGGACACTCTACGGCGTGGGAGTGGGGGAGGAAGGTTAAGCAAAAAGAGAGAATTCCAGTTTGGAGCTGAGGAAGGGAGCTTGCGTCTGGCACGATTTCAGACACCAAGCACGGGCTCAGAATCTATAAAATGGACATAAATGACACCTAGCTCGCTGAGTAGTTGAGATTAGAGACAATTAACTTACCTGCAACACGGTGCTTAATGCCTAGTAAATAAATGATTACAGATCAGTTACTGTTGTTAGTCCTGGCCAGTAAACCCCAGTGAATGGCCTGGGGGCGCATCTCCAGCCAAACTGTTATTCAAAGAACCTGGCTTTTCAGACTCTCAACAACAACAACAGCAAAACCCCTCTGACTCCAAAGGAGGAAAGTGCCCATCCTTCTTTCTCAGAGCATCCAGCCTTTGGGTTGCCAGAGTAACCCCTTACCCACTAGGCCACCAGTTGTAGCTGTTGTGTACCCTAGAGCTGGAACCTGCAGGAGGAGATTGTCCATCCAGCTCTGGTGACCTACTGGTAAGAAGCTGCGCTGCAACCTCAAAGGCTCTTGGTTTAAATCCACCAGCTGCTCTGTGGAAAATGGATGGTCAGTCTTCTTCTGTGTGGTTTACTGCCTCTGAAAACCTGCTGGAGTGTCAGCTATGGGCCAGTTCCAGCTCCACAGTACTTAGCAACAATTCTTGTGGAGTAGCTGGTGTGGATTCCAACCTTGTGCCTTTGGGATTGCAGCAGAGCCTCTTACCACTAGGCCACCAGAGCTCCCTTATGATAGATAGATAGATAGATAGATAGATAGATAGATAGATAGATAGACAGACAGACATATAGACATATAAAATATATAGGATATTATTTATTTATGTATTTATTTATTCATTCATTCATTCATTCATGACTGTAGATTCTGAGTCATGGTGACCCTGTGTGCTTACAGGGTTGAATGGCCCCGTGGATTTTCTTGGATGTAGTATTTACAGGTAACTTGGAGAAGCTATCCAGTATGAGGTTCATCTGTGAGAGCTGGAACACAAACTCAGGTCCACTAACACCCAAGCCCATGAATGACCTTTAGCACTATGCTACAAAGACTAAGGTGCACCTGATCCAAACCATGGTGTTTTCAACTGTTTCCTATGCATCTGAAAGCTGGGCAATGAATAAAGAGACCAAAGAAGAACTGATGCTTTGAATGGCAGTGTGGTGAAGAGTAATGAATAACCGATGCACTGCCAAAAGAACAAACACACCTGTCTTGGAGGAAGTCCAGCCAAGGTGCTCTTTACAGGCCAGGATGATGAGACTTTATCTCACACACATTTGGCTTGTTAGGAGGGGTCAGTCCCTGGGAAAAGACCTCATGCTGAGAAAAGTGGAGGGTCAGTAAAAGAGAGGAGGACCCTCAATGAGATCGATTGACACAGTAACTGCAGCAATAGGCTCACGCTTGGTGGAGGTCATGAGCATGGTACAAGGTTCCAATTTCTTGTTCATGCAGTTGCTATGAGTAGTAATTGACTCACTAGATATAAATGTATACCTAACATTGTTCATAGGATTGCTATGAGTCGTGCTCGACTCAAGGCAATCTTCATCAACAACAACATATCTGACAACAACAACAATCTTTAAAGAAGCAGATCAGCAGGTCTTTTCCACAACTCTGTCAGATGCACTGGAACCACCAGCCTCTAGTGCTAGCTCCACACACATTTTCACCCCCCAGGGACCTTAATTCAGGTATTATCTTTCCTTAATCCCACTTAGCAGTGTCTATCCAATTAAAGTACAGGATAGGACAGGGTTTAGAGCTGTTCACAGGGTTACTAAGAGTTGTACTCAAAGCAATTGCGCTTAACAACCATAACAACAAAATAACAATAACAGTCAATTAAAGAATGGATGGAGTGGCTTCCTCTAACTCTTCAACCAATTGTCCTCGGAAGTAAGGAGAATGTAGACAAGATCTCCTTTTAAGGGAGGATTCATGGAGGCTCAGCAAAGTTTAGCTGACCCACCCAAGGTCACTTAGCCAGAAGCTGACTGTGTCTGGAACCTAGTTCCAAGTCATCAAAACTTTCTGTTTAATGCTCAGGGGACTTTATACCGTGAAACTCCTGTCACCAATAACCCTATCTCTAGAATATTTTTATCATCCGGACCTGAGTCCAATCTGCAGCCCACCCAGCCCTGGGGACCCTCAACAGCCCAGGCTGGAGGAGGGTGTGTTGAGCCCCCGCCCTTACCCCCATGTAGTTGCAGAGTGGGCCCAGGTCAAGCAGAACCACCTTCTTTATCCTGTGATCACCCTGCCCAGCCAGAGGACCCCAAAATACAGTGTCTGCTAAGATTCCCCCTGGGCTTAGCACCCCCTTTTTTCCTTACCAGCCTAAAAGAGAAAAGGAGTGATTGTTGAATTACTGGTGGCAGGTCCAGGCTCATGGCCAGTCTGTCCCCTTACTGCTTCCTACCAGCCTCTCAACATGGACCTACCTCCCAGAGATGGAGTCAGTTCGGGTCCATAGCTTGGCAGCGTCAGGGGACAGGTCGCACACATGCCAGGCCTGTCCCCTGTCCTCTTGCCTTGCACCTCACTCCTCACTCCCCTCGGGTTTATCTCTCATCTTGGGAACACCATCCCCTCCCTTGGTTAATATTTGGCCAGGACTCAGCATGCCTCTCACACTCTGTGGGAAGGGGGTTGGGAAGGGGAAGAGATGAGCAGAGTAAAGAAGAAGAGTCTAAAAAAGAATAAGAAAAAAAAATAAAAAAGAATAAGAATGGAAACTACAAACACAAGACAGCCCTCTGCGCCCTAAAGCACATGTTGTCAGAGGTGCTGCTGTGTGTGATGGGAGGTATTGTTATGTGCTGTTGATTTGGAACTGACTCAGAACTGAGCCTCCAGCAGGTTTTCAGAAGCTGTAAATCACATGGGAGGAGTGCCCATCTTTCTTCCTCGGAGTAGCTGGTGGATTTGAACTGTTTGCCCTTGGGTTCACAGTGCAGCTCCTCCCCACTAGGCCACCAGAGCTCCCTGGGTGGTGGAATGGCAACCCTAGATGACAGACTAGCACTCCCTGCAGGGTTTCTAGGCTTTATGCAGCCTTTATGGAAGCAGAAAGATCACCAGCTCTCTTCTTCCATCATGTAGCTGGAACCTTAAGCAGCAGAGTACTTAATCGCTGTGTAACCAGGGCTCCTTAGTGGATGGTAGTTTGGAAGAACTAGAACCTGACCCCGCTTGGCCCAAAGACTCCATGTTCATTGCCCCAAATCACTGGGTCCTTGAGGTCATCTCTCCCACCTCCAGCACTTACTTACTGCCTCTATAATGTCCTTCCCTCCATGGCCCAGCTTGAGGGACAAGAAACTGCATTAGGCTCATTCCCACCTGCCTGCCCTGTCTACCTGCCCCCTCACCCAGAATGCCAGGTTCCAGCTGGGACAGGTGTGATCCACGGTTCATAAGGCTGCCTTAGCGCTACCTATGCTTCTGAGTTCCTCTCAGAATCCTGGACTTCCGTGCCACTGGCATGCCATGTCCTATGTTCTGTCTAGAGACAAACATGCAATATGGTAGGGACCACAGGAAAGTCTGCACCTAGAGGAGGCCCTGGCACAGAGCAGGCACTCATGATTTTAACAAGGCAGCTGTGATCACTGAAGAGCAGGTAAGAGCCTCAGAGCTCCCGCAGGGCACCAGCCACCCAGCCTCTGTAGCACTTGCTGTCTCTCCTGGTACGAGGGCCCGTCTATTGAAGACCAGCCACTCATTTGTGTTCTAAACACCAGCCCTTCTTTTTTACGCAAACACAGCAAAATTCCCCAGAAGAGTTGCACACACTATTTCCAGTTCCCTCTACTAAGCTCTCAAGCCCACTACTTGTTTTGTTTTGTCTTTCATACAGCATGCTCATGTGAATAAAGCACACACATATAACAAGCATGGCGAGCACAGGAAAGGAAAGCATCAGAAGATGATACAGTTTGCCAAAACCTGTCTAACACAGATGTCATTGGTGTAAAAATACAACAGTCTGCTCTTGTCAAGATCACAGATGTTTCCAAGCTCCCAGGAACATGTCACTTGACTGACTTTCTCTCCTTAAAAGATTAAGAAGGAGACATCACTGCCCAGATTCAGCACTGGTTCTTCCTCTGCTGTCAGACCCTACACTTCAAAGCCTTCCAGGAAACAACACCTCTACTTCCCTCCTCTATTTGCAC